AACAGTTCTTGCAATTTTAGGAACATTTGTCTCTTTCTTTTTTAATTCCTTCAGCAGGAGCGCTCCATTCCTACTGAGATGAACAATTTTCTTCCTTCCCCACCCCCAACCCTTAAAAAATTTTCTACATACAGTGTAGCAGTGAGTCACTAGAGAACAGTCTGGATCAAATTATTCAAACTTGGTCATAAAATCCTTTGCCTATATTATATTATATTACTGGCTACCCCCGTTTACTATATAGGGGAGGGGGGAAAGTAGCCCAATAAAGGAATTATTCTTAAGAAATCTACAAAGAATGTAGAAACAAAATTTTATAATCCTTTAGGACCAACATTTGGCAAGTAATTAAAAAAAAAAGAATACACTGAAAAATACTTTCTTTAATATTATACATCAGGCACAACCTTTTTTTTTTTTTTTCTTTTTTTTTTTTTTTGTTATAAGATTTCATCTGCATAAAAGGTTTGTAGGATCAGCAGGTGCCGGATGCCTCCTCGCCTGCGAAAGCCGGATGGTTTCAAGCTCCTGCACTCTTTCCTCCGCTCCCGTGGCGTGGGGAAGGCGACGGGGGACCCCGGAGGAGCCCCCTCAGATGCTGAGGTCGGTGCTGCACTCCTTGTACGGCCGCCTGCGCTGCTCGGGCGGGTGCCTGCGGCTCGGCTCGTGCTTCCAACCGGGCTCTTCCCTCTCCCGGTGGCCGACTCGCTCCTCCCTGAGCCGTCTGTCGGGCGACCTCTCCCTCCGCCGGTCGGACGACTTGGCCCGCCGGTCGAGGGAGCTCTCTCTTCTCCGCTCGGGCGACCTCCTCGGCTCCGTCAGTCTCTCCAGCGAGCGCCGGCGGCGGCCGGGCGACCGCTCTCTGCGCCTCTCGGGGGAGAGGTCTCGGTCTCGCCTCCTCTCGTGTCGCTCCCGCCTCTCCAAAGTGTTGTCGGCGCTCCTCGTCCCTTCCCTCCGCTTTTCGGGAGACCTCCTCTTCTGCCCGTTCACCACCGCCCTCTCCGGCTGCCTCTCGTGCCTCCTCTCCGGCGACCTCTCCGTCCTCCTGCCTGGCACGTGGTCGTTGGTTTTAGAAGTCCCATTCCAAGTGTGGTGTTCGTTGGGATGTCTGCTAAACTCTCTGCTGCCTTTTAGGTCTCTAAGGTAAGTCCGCTTGTCCCCATGTTGTGATGATTTGTGAAGGTCTGGTGGATAACTGGACTCCGATGATGGGTGCTGCCGTCGGTCGGATGGCACGGGTTTCATTTCCGATACATTTTGTGAACCTGTGGCGGGACTGTTCCTGTCACTGCTGGGGTCTGAAAGAAAATAACAGCAAAGCATTTGGTACCGATGCTTTCCGCGGCGCCGTGACACCACTTATCACTCTTCAGACTTCATTAGTGACAAAAACAAACAACTGTTAAAGCAGTCAGCGAAGGCTAACCGAAGCTTTTGTTAATTTAACTGCGAACAACGAGAGTTACAGGTTAGTACTGGTGCTGCTCTGTTCGTTAGCCGTGTTTTGGTCCAAGCTGATATCATCTTTATGCTCTTCTGGTCATGGGGCATTTTACATTGTCCCCAAGCCCAATTCATAATGTTTCGGTTACACTACTTTCTTTCCAGTGGGGGGAAAAAAAAAAAATTGTAAGTTCAGATGTTGGCTGTTTTTTTAATGGTTTCCAATAAGAGGGCCTTTAGGAAAGGATTTTTTTCTTTTAAGTCTTTTGAAAGAACTGCCTTCCAGGTGTGGGAGGCCTTGTTTCAAATAGCAGAAAACGTACAGAAAATAGAATTGATTATTAAGTTTTCACCTCGTAAAATAACATTTTGAAGGTGTGAGAATTAGACTGTAATCGTGCAATTTCAATTTCATTTAAGACATTACTTAATCTCACTTAGTTCTACCATGTTACGAAAAGTCCTAGGGTAGATTTTGGTTTTGCCACAATGATTCGAACAACGATGACAGAAGTTATGGTTTTTTCATATCAAAGCAATGGAAAGATATTGTAATATGTAGGATGGCCTTGATTAAAACCTAATCTCCGGTTCATTATTTTTAATGTAGTATTTCAGGTAAAACACAGCTGAGCTATGTCTGTGAGACAAACTGCAAAGCAGAAGGAAAAAACCAACCCCAAAACTGAAAACCAGCCCTGCGCTGTAGCTAAGCTACAATTACTCCCATCATTTGCAACGGATGTTTATGAATGATTCATTATAGACATGGCAAACATTAAAGTAGCTGCGCTGACTTAATGCAAGCGGTGCTTTTGTTTGCTTATTGTTTTCTTTTTTAAAGTAACTTCTGCATGGCAGCTTGGCTGGCGTTAGCTACGCTTCCTGCAGGCTTCCTGCCGCTCACACCGCGACACCCACCTCGAGGTGGAGCGTCCTGATGGCAACGACTGAAAACTCTCACAAACACTTGCGGGGACAGATTTTTTTTCTGTTTTTCTCCTTTTTGTCTTCCCTCCCCCAAGCCAAACACTCTACATGCTCATTCCTCCTGCCATCACACAAAGCATCTCCCGTTTGATGGCATTTCCATTCCTTAGCTTGGGAGGGTCGGTGTGTGCATGGGCCATGATTTTTGTGATTTCCAGGTGAAACCCGTGTTGCGACTCACGTGTGTGCATTTTTGCTTATTAGCTTTTTCAGGCAGCAGCTGGGGACCACACCGCTTTTCCATAGCTGTAAGCACGTGGCTTGCGGCAACCTGGCTATCGCACAAGGTACAAGCGAGGTTTAAACGTGTCCTGTGATGTACTTAGAATTCAGGGGACGCAGGGTGCTCGGAATGAATTGCTGTACATATAAAATATAGCGAAGCGGAAAGCAATGTGAGGGAATTAGGCCACAGCACAAAAACACCTAATATTGATTTTAGCTACAAACCGTAGTTTGATTATGGCCCATAAGGTAGAAGCAAGACTCCCCGAGCTTGTCATTTCTCATACATGCAGCGATATTAGGAGGTATCATCGCTGAGGAAGGAAGAGCCCAGCACCAAGAAAAGTAAGAGAAAGAGAAAGAGAAAAGTAGAAAATTTAGATTCCCTATAATAAAGATGAAAGAAAGAAAAATCTTCATATTTTATCTTAGAATAAAGAAAGTTTATTTTTCCAGTCAGATTGTCTAGGCTTCACCCAAATATAAGGCTGCAAAGACAGCGTTGTTATTATCGTGACATAAAGAGACATCTAAGAGGTGATTCAATAACCCAGACAACGAGAGCATCCATTCTAAAAGACAGCTGGAACAGCGACACAGAATGTCATAGAAAAACATTAACAATCAAACAACAACGAAAAATAAAGTCCACCAGAGACCACAACATTAAAAATAAGTACAAAACTCATTACAAAAATATACAGCCTCATAGAGAAGCACGTTCCAATCAAGTCAGAAAAATATTGGAACTTAACATTATTAGAGGAACCATTTGCGACTGCAGCGAACAGAATGAAGAGAGGAAGGAGTCCCAAATGTTACAAGGTTATTCCTTACAGTAGTGCAACCCCTGTATATTAAATCCTTGCTTGAAGAATGAACGTTTAGTGGTTTAGCATTAGCCAAAAGAAAATTGGTGGTGGATTTCCATCCTCAGTGCAACAGACATATGCTTTGAGAAGTGAAGCACTTAATTTACAGGGTATTTATGCAGTCTAGCATATGATACAGTACTGTACATCCAAAGGAGTATAGGAAAAGACAAAAGTAGAAAGAACATTACAGAATTTCAGTGCCATCATTGAACCTTCTGGTGTGCTATTTATATTACAGAAGTGTAAACCCACAACTTCCCTTCCATATTGTTAAACACTTCAGTTGTTTGTCGGTTATACTCTGAATTGGTCATTTTAAGTTAAATAATGAGCAGAGTGAGCAGAAACTCTCAAACGTGGTACAGTAAATGAAAAGAAAATCTAGTTCATAAATTGTGCAGAAGGGTTTTCTTTCTGGTTTTAGGACATGGAGCGAATGATAAACACAGAACTTACTGACACAGAAATAACCCAAATACGGGGAGAAAAGTATAAAGGACATCCCTTCAATCATCAGTTTCTATAGAAACCTCAAAGACCTTTGGTTGGGAGTAGCCCTCCATCGAGGGCACAATATTTGACAATTATCTCAAATAAATAAGACATAATTATAATATTAAATAGTGTGCTAAGTTAAGCCACCCAGCAATCCAACCTCCGGGGGAAGAAAAGGAAATCTAATGCAATTCTTAGTAAGAAACGAGGACTGAATGTTTCCCCCAAGACAGACACGAGAGCACCTTTTCGTAACCTCCTCACCTTTTCAGACTTTACAAATTAACTAGTTGAAACCAGCAGACAGTTTAAGGGGGGAGAAAAGGGCTCAGGAGGCCAAATCAATATATTTTTGCAGTAAAGCTTTTTTTTTTTTTCTTCTTTTTCTTAAATAACTTTATAAATATTTACATAAATATTAAGGGAAGGCAAAAATCTCATAAGCCATCTCGGCATTCATCTCTATGGATACAGACAGGAACTAAAAGAAAAAACCTAACAAAAAAAAAAATCACTGCTTCAGAATAATAACTCAGGATCCCAGTTTTTGCATTGATTAGAAGTAGAGACCTATTTGAAACAACAATTCAGCCGCTGAGAAACAGTTTGGCACAGTTCAATGACATTCCTTGTTTGGCTGGACAAGACAATAAGGTTTTTTTGTTTTGTTTTGTTTTCCTCTCTGATCACCAAAAATACTGCTATGATGATCTTGCCTTACACTGCGCCCCAAGTCCATGGAAGCAAGCAAAGGATGAAATGTGTAGAAAATTCAGCACAAGCGAGGCAATTAACCATATGTTGCAAAGGTTGGTAAGACACTGGTGAGAAAGGAAAATAAAAAAAGAATTCCCGCTTCAGATCTTGAGACAAATCATTCATGGAGTGATGCCAGGGAAGAAAGGAATGTTTTCATAGTTTGACCCACCATATTCTGGGACAGAGCCATCTCCACGTTTCAGAAACAGGCGGACCCTGCGGCCACCATTTTTAATCAGTTCGATGGCCCGAGCATGCTTCATGTTCTTGGTAGTTTCTCCATTGATCTCTAAGATTTCATCACCGATCTGTCAATGTAATAAAAGAAAAGAGTCTAAGATTAGAAACAAGCCCCCATGAGGGTCACCACCAGCACACCACAAGGCAACAGCCACAGCAAAGGCAGAAGAACAACTATGCACCAAGTGAAGCTAAATACGCCCAAGTCCTTCCAGTGACAGCCCACAAAAACCAATGTGCAGGGGCCTGGGAGACATGAGGACAGGGAAAGCTTGAGGTATCAAACTATTATTTCACTGCTGTCCTGTAAAACCACGTTGCATTACTGTATTGCTCAATACCTAGAGCTGTGTTAAAACTGGTGTTATTTTATTTTACTTTCATTATGTGTAAAGTTTTTGGTCAAAGTAGTTGTTTTAGTCTACTGTAACTGTTCAAATAGCTTTTTCAGGTCCATTTCTCATTTGGATAGATACCTTATATGAACCAGCAAAGCTGCTTTTGTACATATAATCATTCATTAGGATAGGAAAACAGGGCTTGGAAGAGCTTGTCAAAACATTGAGTTCCACAGGGCAGCACTGATCTATTTTCATCAGCAAAAGTTTTATCCTATAAATCTACCCCTAGCAAAAGAATTTTCAAAATGCCTTTTGCATGATATATCTGGAGAAGAAAAAGACATATGCTGTAAAGTTATCATGCATTCTCTAACAGAGGAGCAAGGAGTACATAAAACTTAGCAATTTAATTTTTCTGTAGGCATTTTATAACATATGCCCTTATTGTAATGTTTATAATTTAGCTGATATGTAAAGTTAACAGTTAATACTAATAAAAACCTATATTATAATTTTGTAACCCATGGGTCAATATACATGCTCTCTCCCACTCTCCCACTAGCAGAGGAGAGGATCAGGTGGAACACCCTGAATCTCTACTCATGTCTGCAGCTTTAAAGGAGCTGACAAAGACTGTGGCTATTACATTTTCATTGCTACATGTATCTTGGTTAGGCTTTAAAAGCAAGGTTATGTATTAGAATTTGGAAACCTGGGTTGGAACAAAGGGGTGAAATCTTCCAATGCAGACACGCTGTTATAGACTGTATACAAAGAGTGACAGACGCCACTGACAGAAGTAAATAGGAACCACTGCTCCTTTCTGTTAACACTTAGTTTTCCTCTTAGCTGGCACAGCAGAAGGTGTGCCTGTAAGGGAGAGGCAGGGAAGTCAGCTTATTGGAAAGAAACATGGGTTTTAAATCCGTTTGTGCATACCCTCATCTTCCCACATCTCTCAGCTGGACCATCCTCAGCTAGCCGCAACACGTACAGATCCATATTATACTCCCGGCCACCTCGCAGACTAAAGCCAAACCCTTTGGCTCCTCTTTCCAGCTCAACAGTGTAAAAATCTTGGTCCTGCTGGAGGGAAGACAACATATGCACAATTGAACAGAAAGTTAAATGCTGCTCTACTCTCATTTTGAAATTACTCAACCAACGAACGTTATTATTTTTGTTACTCCTAATTCAAAAAAGAAAATCAGTTGAGTTTTCACACACAGACTAGGTTTTCCTGCTTCCTCAGATCCCACCCTGCAACCTGGAGTTCCAGCGGTGGTCTGCAAAGGGCTGTTTGAACGAATGGGCTTGGCCATGTCCCATGCATTTTTCGGCACCTCTGTTATACACCACCTCCTGTGTCCTGGGCAGAAAGGCACCTTGCTGGAGGGTGGTTACCTTTCTACCAACTGCAAAGGAAGGCTAGGGCAATGTCACTTCCAGTGCCAGGCTTTAGTTAAATGTCTGGTGGTACCTGGGATGAGTCTATGCCATGGTGGTGGCTTTTTCTTTTTGTTACCACCTCATCTCTTCCTTTGCAAGAAGCTCAGAAGCATGTGCATTGTTTTTCACAAATGCTGTTAGGGTAGGGATGTTTTGAAGTCCCTAATGGAAGAGGTTACTTCTGGGATGGCCAGTAGCAAGGAAAGTTAACAGCGAGATAGATAATCTCTCTAATAAGATGCCATCTGTGAAAGCTGGAACACTCCAGCTATTGCCCCTTATTAAGTTTTCCTCTTTTTTGTCCTCAGAATTTATCATTCGCACACAACAGTACTTTCTGGAGAGGCCCCTCAAAATACACATTTCGATAAGCAAACACATAAATTATTACTGTTGTAAAAACGTGAGGGGTTTTTTTTTTTTTCCTCCCTAAAAGTCTAGATGAGAATGTGTTGGAAATGTTTCTCAGCTGAAACAACAGCAACACATATTAAGAAACTAATCAGCAAATTCCTCTTTCTTCAGCAAACAGACTGAGGGAGAACAGCTTCCCAGTAGGAATTTTCAAGGGAAATATTCGAACACAGCCTTCAAGCAGATTGGAAACAACAGTCTGTGGTAAACAAAACAATTAGAAATGTCCTCCTTACCTGCGCTGCTTGGGGTGGCTTGAAATCAAACTGGGATTCCTGCTTTGGTTTGGTGTTGTTCCTGCTGTAACAAATAAGAGAAAGAGGGAGAGAAGAAAAATACAGCTCATGGGATGTGAAGATGATCAAGAAATAACTAAAGAGAGAACATGTCAACACGCTCTCCTCAAGAAAAACAATCTGACCTGGTCTCCTGTGGTATTTGCTGAGGAGTATGTGTGGTTGTAATTGTAGCAATTTTTTCTGCATTGGTCAATAAAGTAGCATTGGAGGATTCTGCAAAATAAATTTTTTTTTCCATTATGAGGGAAGACCACTGGCTATTCACTGAAAGAAAAAAAAGTTTTGCAAAGGCATTTCACTGGAAAGCATCATTATGTTGTTTTTAAAGAACTTGAGATTGGCTCAAATTTATTAAATAAAAAAATTGACAGGATAAAGTCTAAGATAAGTCAGTAATTATGCATATGAAACTGTACACTCAATTAGAAAATTAAAAAAAACCAACAAAAAAGGGAAATCTCAATTAGAAACACCTCTGCTAGACACACTCAGAATGAGGACGAACTTGTGGAGGAAGGGTTGAAGAATGTTTAATGTTTTGTGTGTTGTCTAACGATACGAATTCCAATCATTAAAGTCTCCAAATATGGTAGGTTGGCTGGATTAATTTTATAGTAGCAATAACTATTCCATGGATTATAAGCTTATCAGTGCTTCCTCCATCAGAAACTGCAATCTTCGGTAGGATTGAGATGTGGCTTTTATCTAATACCTCACAAGGTGATATTGAACGTGGCTAAACCCCAAACTTACTGAAATCCTTCTTTGAAATACAACCCACTGCTGCCTGAGCACTCAAAGCTGCACGCAGGGATGCGGAACCACGTGTACCAAATGCATCAACAGCTTTGGGTACCATTTACAAAAGGGCTTACCGAGAGAATACAGAGAGCACAATTAACCTCAAAACTCAGTTCGTGCCATGGTAAAGGGCTTTCAGCCCAACATCAGCCTGTGCAAATGCCATATCTCTCTACGCACAGCAGGAGGTGCTTCCAGGAGAGGTCCTCTCTCCTGCTTCACAAAACTGGGAAGGGAGTTGCTGGAGACACAACTGAAAAGTGACTATCTAGGTGTCCCTCACAGTATGACATGGCAAAATGGTCCCCTTGTCATTGTGGAGCTTTATCATAGACTTCAGTAAGACCAGAGTTAACCCAGAACTCATTTAAAATTCTGCCTAAAATTAAGGTCACGTCGATTCCATTAGCCAAATATTAGAACCACAGTTTTGGAGGAAAGACCCGGAACTCTTGCATATTGAACTGAACACATTTTCCAGAAATGCATATTGTATCAATCCTGAACTGAAATTAGTACTGAAGAGTTTTGAATTTTGAATTGCTCCAGAAGTCAGCAGTTCCTGAAAACACCCTTCCCCTCACCCAGGAATTTGAATTCAGAAGAAGAGTTGGTGGTACATGCTTAACCGCTTAAAATGTTGAACTGTAACATTGGTTGCATATGGAGAATGATGGGCACGGTCAACAGAAACACCCAGTCATTAGGCATGGCGTTCCCAGCTAAAGTCACCACAGCGGCAGGCACTCACTCCTTTGTGCAACAGTTGTGCACGCAGGAGAGCCCCACTTTGTGCCTCTACCAATTCTACCTAGGAGAGGACCCCAGGATGCAAGTAATTACAAAATACTGACCATGATCCACTTTCCAAGGTCAAAATCTAAACTGAACGCACAACCACTGGTTAAAACATTGCACCTTTTCTCCTGACTGAACTTCTCTAGTTCCAATCCCACTTAAAAAAAAAAAGCCACCATCAGACAACAGCAACGAAATCTGGGTGGAAACATCCGGCTTTCCAACATAAAATTACAAGGTCTTCTATCCTGCCCTTGTTTGCCTCTTAAGCTCCAGGCATCCGGTAATTAATTTCACCAACTATGGAGAAATCTGCCATTATTAAACAGCGTCCAGCTGTAATACAAAATTGCAGAAATGGGAGGGGGTTTGCCTGAATTAAGGAGGTAGTGGTCATGGGTTTACTTGGTACTGGAAACCTATTTTATTTCATGGATTTATTTTAATTGTGCAGAAATCTAGACGAGGTGAAGGTTTTTCCTTTCTGTAGCTAGTGCGTGTCAAGGGAAACTCAGGAAAAGGAAAAGAGAAAAAGAAGAACCATTTAAACAGATGGGTGCAATGAGAGCACAGCTCCTTTGCCTGCAGTACTGTGCCCAAGTTAACATGCCCAAACCCTCAGCATATGGAGCTGTAACATCTTCCAGACCAGAGCTGGCTTGTGCCCAGTGGCTCAAAGAGCAAGAGAGGCTCCTGGGTCTGCTGCACCTCTCAGGGTAGGCATGACCAAAACATCCCCTTGCAAGGATGTGCCACTGACAGCTGGCTTGTGTGAGAAGGAGACGTCCCTAAGTGTGGTTACACTGTTGGATTTTAAGAAATAATTCTGTGTATTTTGCAAAGACACCTTGATGCTAAAATTGGTCTCCAACATAAGAAGGTCCCAAAACATGGTTAAATGTTCTGTATTCACCCAGAACAAAAGCCTCTGAAATCCTCCACAAATATTTGGAGATCAGATGAAGCTGGGCTCCAAAGAGAATGCAAGATTCCTACCCTTTAGTAGGTCGCACTAAGAATACCAAGTAGAGCAACAACACATCTTTGGTACAGATGTATCTTCACGCCACTGTACTGGATCTATCTTTAGCCCACCCTATCCCATGAGTCAGGAGTTGTGCATAATTTTGCTAGTTTTTTAGACACTGGTTCAGGATGCATGCCAGCCACCATGCAAAACTGGAACACAACACAAATATAGCAAAAATTATCTCTAGTAGAATTACAATTGTACGTTCTAAATCCTACATATTTCATTGATTCTTTGCCCTGTTCTGCCCTAGGACATTCAGACACCAATCAAATGCCTAATCTAAGCTTGTCATTTTTCAGCTCTCTGTATCCTTGCATCAGCTGGTAGCATGTTAAAGCATAGTAATTTCATTGCAAATAAAATCCTGCAGTGGTCTATGGCAAGACTTATTACAAAGCAAAAGCCCTTGGTGTTTTTAATAATGTTAGAAGAGATTAGCAGTGTGAGTTTATTGTGAGTCTTGTGATGAGCCTTAGTTTCATGTTTATCTAAGAAGTATGGCTTGTGATTTATTCTCCCCCCCCCCGCCTTTAAGTACACTGTTAGACCATTTATATTTATCAAAAAAGCACCCAAAAGCTGACAAAAAGAAAACAACACTGAGACCAGTTTCTTAAATCTCATGGGGTTTAGAGCGAACCCTCTCAGCGATTTTGAGAGTGTCTGGTCTTACTGGCTTTTGGAAATAAATGCAGTTAATACTATGCAAAGTTGGCAATAGAAAAAGATTCAAAGCCTGCACTGCTACGGGAGGGAAGAGTTGACTCCTTCTCTAAATTATGGCTTTCCACCTTCTCTAGGAATACGTGATGTCAGTCACACGTACAGGTTTCCTTTCTAACCTAAGCAATTTAACATGGCATTTTGTACACATATTTGCATGAAAAAGACTCACGTCAGGAGGCTACATTCTTCTCAAAAAACTCTTAAACCATTCAAAAGTTACTTATTTCTTAGGTATTTTTGCCTTTTAAAAGAAATTATTTCTTTATTTATTCAAAGATTCACCTGCCTTGATTTTGATCAGATACCAAATACAGGTAATGAACAATTCTTCTCCCAGTTTACCTTCCAAAAGTGGCATGCACTGGCCAGCTCAGGAGTTAGCCTGAGTCACAGCCATTTTATTATTCATGAACACTCAATTTGCTGGAAGCAGCGAAGGATCATATACCATTTGACCTGGTAGTTACTAAACAGTAGGAAAACAAAGCCATTATGCAAAACAGATCATCCCAAACAGAAATAATTTATAACCAGATCATTTCTCATCCTGGCCTATTTTTATCCTATAACTAAACATAGCATAATCATGCTCTGTTGGGTAACCAAATCCATCTTTCAGATTAGAAAGTACGAGACTTGGCAACTACCGAATGCTTCTCACTGGAAATCACATCAAGTAACTTCTTCATTCTGCTTTACAGGTACAAGGTTCAATTCAGGAATACTTTCTCCACTTTTCTTTCAAACTTAATCACACTCTATTTTCATTTAACTGAAAGCAAATAATGTCCTGTACAACTCTAAGAAATGCTCATTAGCACTGTATCTGAGCCATCAAATCTTATACCCGTGAATTCAGCTTAAAAAGAGTGCGATGTAAAAAGATCTCTGCCTAACGAGTTCTCACTATGAATCCGTCTGTGGCAGAGCAGGACAAAGAACAAACAAAATACTTAGAATTTGGAACTACAGCAGTTTTAGTTCTGCTACAGATACTTTACGTTTCTGCTCTGTTCCTATTTGGCATCACAGCTAGGGATCAATTTAATGGAACTGATATATAACACAGATCCTTATTAAATAGTTCAGTGACCTGAAACTAGTACCAAGTGTCAGCACATTATTAGGGATCCTGTGTGTTCCCTCTAATCTGAAACAGTGAGATCCTGTCTAGGGTAACTCTTGCAACGATCGGCTGCAAGCACGCAGCAGCTTCAGCCCCGTTGCCATTTAACTAAGTAATTTAAAAATGTACTGAGCTCGCTCCCAAAGCAACTTACCCAGAATAAAAACAAATCTTCTTTTCGAACAGCTTAAAACATGACAAAGTGTTTATCCCTTTCTGTGATCTCTTTACTCTATAGCCTGCTTGTGTATATACAAAGCTTCAGGAATCCCACATATTAACAAGTGATTCCCAAATATTCTACAACTGCATTATTAACCTAAGAATCAAATCAAAGTGTACTGAGATATGCATAAAAATTACGGAAGATCATTTTTAAGGAAACACATGGAGGAACATGGTAGAATAGATTTTTTTTTTTTTTTTTTTAATATGTAGAATCAGCACCTCCCTGTTTAAAAACAGAACTCCCATTTCTATAGAAAGAAACAAAAAATAAAGCTATGGAAAACTCACAACCTCCCTCCCTGCTAATTCCCAGAGCAGGAGTGGAAATTGAGTCCTCCATGACTTTGCAGCTCCAACTGATGCAAACAGCCAGGGAACAAAACCAACGAGAGGGTCAGGTAAGACAGCAGGAAACATATACTTTACCATCTCCTGGAATGATGCGCAGGGTAACGGTGTTTCCCGCTTCCTTAATGAGGTTGACGATGTCTGAATGCGACTTGTTGGTGATGGAGCACCCATTCACGGCCAAGATCCGATCGCCTACTTTCAGCTTGCCACAGCGGTCTGCAGGACTCCCTTCAATTATCCGACCTATTTTGTGAGGCATGGCCACACATGCATTTCCCGCTTTTGTATTGGTTTGGGGGTTGTTTTTGTTTTGGTTTGGTTTGGTTTGGTTTTGGTTTTTAATTGTTTACATACGTGGGAATATGGTGAAGGGGAAAAGGAGAAAAAGGGTTGAAAAGGGAAAGAGAAGGTTAAGGGTTAATTAATTAATGCATCAAGCAAAAGTTATTATAGGATAGCTTTGCTGCCAGTGTTCAAAACATTGGCATTCAACTAGTATGAGTGCACAATACTTTACTCCTTTTACAAAAAGGTGTTTTGTTAATCACTCAAAACTCCCCCCACTTTGATTTCTGTTAATAAATGGTGAGATCTTTATAGACTACAACTGCACTTAGCAACCCCATCACAACCCAAATCCTGATTTTATTTTTGAACAAAAAAAATCGAAACTGTTTGTAGAAAAGACAAACTTCCTCCTCCAAGATTACATCCGTGTCGGCCTCTCTAGTCCTTCTCTAAGTCAACTGCTGTTCAAGCTTCTGCCAATGTTTTGTTCTTTCTCAACTTAGAAAGATAAAATTGTTCTAGGCCTAGGAGGGAGCGCGACTCCCTTTCTACCACAAAGACTCACTCTATCAGCGCTGCGTGGGGAAGCAACATGAAACGGTTTTCTTCCATCGTGAATAAAGGTACTACCAGGGAAGGTACAGGACCACTGCAGATAGGCCAAGACTGACAAAGGTAACCTGTTTGGTGCAGGCATCCACCTCAGCTTCTGTTAACCCTTCCCCTTTTATGATCTTAGATGGCATCAGGATGGGAGCAGGGAAGGAATAAGGACCTCCTCATTTAAATACCTCTAAAACCACACACAAAACCATTGAGATGTCTGACACACAGAGCAAGAGCACTTTAGGATGAATGTGTTTTGGAGACAAAATTCTCCTCCTGTGCCATGCAATTGTTTGTCCCAGAACCACAGGGTCATCCATAAAATGCAGATTTGGGACACAGGGGATACACAACTTCACTCAGATAAATCCAGTGGGCTTTTGTACGGCTTCTTTACACAGGCAAAAGGCCCTCGGGCATGCAGCACTTGATTAAAACCCTTAAAACCACAGAGTGGTCATCTCATACTTTGCATCCACAATACATTCACCCCCAAGATGCACTTTCCCGTCTGTGCTGTAGTCTTTATTTGATTAGTAGTTTTAGAGATATACATTGCTGCACACATGAGAACACTAGAAAGACCATAAAGAAGAAAAGGCTAAGAAAAGGAACGTGAGGTGAGAGAACAAGGTTGGAAAGAAGTGATGAAAACTGGCAGAAAGTGTTAATATTAGTTGCAAATGGTAGGGAGATTTTTTTTTTTCTTCTTCTTCTTTTACTGTGATATTAGAAAGTTTCTCTTTCTGGTAATACAAAGCCCCATCCAGTTTAAATGCTGTTTTGAGGGTATGAGTTCCCACTCTGCCCAATCCACTGAACACAGATGACAGAGCCTACACCAAAGTGACCAAGGTGGGTTTTAGAACCAGTTTGGCCCATCTCTAAATACTACCCATGAAAGAAAAAAACTACAAAGCAGGTCCAAAGCAAGCACCACACACAGAAGAGGGAACGCATCTCATGCAGAGTATTAGGAAAAAGCTGAATACACTTGAAAAAAATTAAAGGAAAAACAGTCACAGATAAACAGATCTCCATGAGGAGCCCCTGCACAGAAAACCTCCAGTTAGCAAGTATCTTGAGCTAAAGCAAACACAACTCTTTACAACCTCAGGTCAAGGTTTCTCTGCAGAAAAGAGTTAGAACATAGTCTTCATACAGTAAAAGTTATTTACACACGTTTGCAAATACTTTCAGAAGATAAAAGTGCTCTCTCCAGTTTAGACTGAGTTCAGTTTAGTCTCTATTGCATTACACCGTTGTGTTCTGGTACCAAAGTACCTATTCTAGAAGAGCAGTTTCCAGCAGTGAGGACAGTGCCAAGGTAGGCTTGCACCAGAGAACTGACAGAACTTGATGCACCAGGTCTATACTAGATATTTCCCCCCTGAAATCTCTGCTGCTATGACTGCCCTGAACAGTGCTAGAAATGGCCCATTATACATCAATACCAGCAAAGGAGGTGATGCTCCCTTGATTTATTAGGAAGGGCACTGCTGACAGGCAACAGCAGGAAATTTCAGAGAAAAAAGCCTAGAAAAAAAAGGGGGAAAGACCACTTCTTGCCACATGCATCTGTGTGGCCCAGGAACATTTGAGCCGTACAGGGAGACTGCAATGTATTTTGTCTGCAAACCACAATCCTGCTCTGAGAGGTAGCGTGAAGACAGCCAAGGCACTTGTTCAGTCTTTCCTTTCCCCCTCCATCCCTATCGCATGCCACAGACTACTAGGGAGGAAATGCCTTTTTTTCCCCCTACAAAGTATAAGTGGATGCTGCCTCTGGCCCTTTTAGAGGAGACAGAAAGAGAAGAAATAGCATCTCTGACTGGTTTTCCCCTTGCAGTGACATTACTGCTCTAGAGCAGGCTGCTCTGTGCACACTTGCAAAACCCACTTATTTGTACTTTGCAACATGACTTGTTTGCTCTGTAGACAGAATTACACCTCTTCTGCAGCAACACCTGGAAATGAGTGTCTGCCTAGCAGAAAGGACTGTCTTCAGAAAGAAACCACGACTGGTTCTATTTGGGCAGGATATTAAGTGTGACATCGCATGAACTTCATTTCCCCCAACTCTGAAGAAATGGATTTGGGAAGAGGTGGAATGGGTCAAAAAAAATCCTGTTTTTTTAACAGTATTCTCCATTTTATGTCTCACCAGCAAGTACTATTAATTAAAAATTTCCAGCTATCAGCATGCTCACTCCATAATGAGGATCAGAATAACCCTGGTTGCCAAAGAGAAGTTAATCAGTTTAAGCATTACTGCTTTTAAATCAACTGGCTCAATTCGACCATCAGGAGACATATTTCATTCCACTTGCTCCATTTCTGCATTAGCAAACGGCATCACTGGGGGGATCCCCGGCTGCTCTTCTGAGCATAAACCCCAGAAAGATGTCCAGCTAGCAGAGAGAGCCGGAGGAGCTTCAGGGAGCATCAGGAATTGTCACTGGTGGCATTTTTGCTCTTCAGGTTGGGATTTCTCATTTTGCTTTTCTCGACTCAGTGCTGAGTAAAACCCAGGAGGCAAACACCTACCAAGTCTTGGCCTCCGATTAAGCTATTAATTACACACATTAGGGCACACTCACAACTTTTAATTAAACAGATCCCCACTAGCCTCTTTGCGCCGCAGCACTCAAATCCGCGTCTCCTTCGAGGCGCGTTGAAGAAACTCCCAGACTTACCGAATGTCGTCCCCGCCTCCGGCCTGCTCACCGACGAGACGATGACGAAGCCGAAGCCCTCGTTTTCGCCGCGGCGGATTTCCACGTCGTAGGGCTGGACCACGGCGCTGACGACGCCGCTGCCGCCGCCGCCGCCGCTGCCGATGCCACTGGTGCTGCCGCTGCCCGAGCTGACGGTGTTGAGGGAGTTCTGGCTGCCCTGTGGCGTTCGCTTCTCCTCTGTCAGCGAGGCCGGCTGGTTGCTGCTGTGGTGGGAAGAGGCTGGGGATGGGACTTCATTCTCCGCCTTGGGAACTGGGGAGTTAAAAAACACAACTGTCTGAGCAAGCTGCATCATTTGGTGCTTGAAAAGTGCCATCCGCTGAGAAAAAGGTAAAAAAATAAAGCAGATCACCTGCTTTAATCTATAAATCATGGCCAGAGTGACCAAGGGCTCTGTCTCCTTTCGGATGTCACCACCAACAGCTCTGTTCGGTGATGGCACTGACCACACACACTCATCCTCTCCAGTGTATCGTCACGCAGCCAAAGCCCTTCACTGCCGCACTACAGCAGCAGCACAGTTAAACCAGTGCAGTGCTGCGTGCTCGGAAGCTCTGTGGCGTTTTAAACCTGGATTACATTAGTTCAGAGGTGCCTCCTTTAGCTATCACAACCCCACTTCAGTTATATATGTGCAACCGTGTATATGGGCACAAGCCGTGAGGAGACAGACTAATGTCAAATACCCATCACTCAACACCTGTGTGTTTTTTAAACTCATCAGCTATCAGCTGGGTAGCACTGATTGCCTTTGATTAATGTGATCTTAAGTAATAATAACACCCATACTAAAGCAAAACAACTTGTGAACCAAGCTTTTCTGGATGGAAGAATGAGCAACTTTCACCTGTACAGTCCAGCACAGTTGGGGGGAAACCATTAAACATTATTAACATTAACATTAAACAAGTGTTTAACAGCAACTGAAGTTGGAAGTGGTATGAGTTTAAAATCTGATCAGCTTGAAGAAATATCAAAAAAATCACTTAGTCCACACTCTGCTCGAGTCAGGGCCAGCTATACTTACTGTCAGTCCTGACAGATGTTTGTCTAATCAGCTGTTAAATATCTCCCCAGGCAATCTATTGGTTGCAATATCTAACTTTAATCTTCCCTACTGCAACGTAAGGCTATTATTTCTAGTTCTATCTAGCAGGCATATGGAGAACATATTATTCCTTTCCTCTTTGCACCAGCCTCTTATAGTCTTGGGGAGTTTAACACCTCCTCCCCCTTCTCTGCTTTAGGCTAAACAATCCCAATTTGTTCAATATTTCCTTGCAGACCATGTTTTCTAGAGCTCTCCTTATTCTCACTGGTCCTCTGGACTCCCTCCAGTTGGGTTCTCTCCAACTCAAACATGTCTTTCTTGAAGCGCTGGACCATATTGCAGCTAAGCCATCATCTGCTGGGAAATCAGGAGAGTTCCCCCCTGCCTACATCCCAGCACAGTGTTTTTCTTCACCTGAGCCAGCCTCAGGTTAAAGCTTGTGGCCCGCAATAGCTTCCACTTCTTGTTACTCAGCCAGTTCTCCACAGTACATTTGCGCAGCTGAGAGCAGCATATTGCGCTTGTCTCTGCTGAATGGCTGCCTCTGCTAATCAGGTCACTTCTCCAATTTGGTGAATCAAAATTAAGTTGAAGATCTTAAAAGCAACAACAAAATGGATGCCAAATAAAAATCTCAACCTGTAAACTCATGATCCAAAGAAAAAGAACTTCAAAATATTCTTGGACAGAAGTACCTGTCTGCACTTAGATACTCAAAGTATGTACTAAATATACAGTATTCTACATATTAAGAATACAGGAGTAGAAACTTTCCCCTATATAAATCTTAAGACTTGGGAGTACCCATTTAGGTGAACAATCTTTTTCTACTGGCATATAGATCACAGGAGGAATAAGGGACCAAAATTCAGGAAGAGGCTTCTCTACAAAGTTATGCCAGAATTTAAATGCCTGCAAATATAAGGTGAAAGAAGGGATCCTGAATAATTTATCCTAGAGTAAGTGTCCACACCTGAAATGATTCAGAAATAGCTCAGTCTGGGGTAACAATCCCCTGAATGAAATCTCAAGAGATGTCTCGTGCATCTGAATCTTTTATGGTAATTTCCAGCCTGAAGGCTGTAAAACTGGATAGAAAATCTACGCACAAAAACAATACCAAAATTCAGCTGCCCTTCCTCTTCCTCCCAAAGCTCATCTCCTAAAGCTTCTCTCACACTGGCAGCCCTTTGTTAGGAATGAGAGAGAAGCTATTAGGAGAGACATAACCTGGCATTCAATCCACAATGGGAAGAAGGAAAGAAATGAGAAGTGAACACCTATTTAATACTGTCTGGAAGGAGCTCAGCCGTGGATAAGAATACAGAGCTATTTTAGAGGTGCTGTTCTAGTCCTAACTTCCACTGCAGGCCTAATTTTCAACCTGAATGTTATTTTGATGCTCTTTAAGATGAAAGTACATCACTGCCTAGTTTTCTGCTGATGCCTAAACTTGAAAAGCTACATAATATCCTTTCTTTTGAATAAGTGAGCTAAACCAAATCCCACACTTGAGCTCCTTAAAGGGACACACAAGAAGAGGGAGCACCCCAGTGTCACTGCCCAATATTAAGCATAAGGTCGCACGTCATTTAGAAAGCTCATGCTCATGTCTTCGTTTTCCTTGCTATCAGCACATTTTTCTGTCACTAATCTGGGTGCCACCGTGCAGTGTCACTTCTCTCTGCATCTTTGTTTTTCTGCTAGCTTCTTTTTTGTCCATTTAGACCATACGCTTGTGCAGTGCTTGCACAATGCCCAGCATAATTCAGCACACAGAAATCTCTCTATTACAACAAACATGCACACCCTGCACTACCAGAACCAACGACACTTACAGTTTTGCATCCTGTGGTTAGTTGACTACATGTTGCAACCTCAGTTGAAGCTTCTCCTGTGCCTGGGACATCAGCCACCACACACCAATGCCCTCACTCGCGCTCTGCCCTTGCCTCCCCTCCTGTGGACTCTTCAGCATCTTTTCCCTCACTCCTAGTTTAAGGGTGGCTATCAGGCAGCATGGTTATTTTGGGAAGTAAATAGAAAACGCAGGCAGTCAGGCACAGTGTCTGCTGCTGCTTGAGTCAAACTAAAAATGGTATGTTGCAACTGAACAGTTCCCCGTTTTATCAGAAACCTTCATGAAGACTGACTGGGGAAGCCAACTGAGGTTGAGAGTCTTGACTGGAAACAAAATCGTTGAAACTTATTTGATCCAGAACAAAAAAGACTAAAAACAGGCAAAAGAGGAATAATAACACCACATCCCCTGAGTTTTCCCAGTATTACAAGGAGAAGCTTTTTTTCTTTAAACCGTTTGCTGAACAGATGGAGTCTGGCAAGAAAATCTACCCCTGCAGAGTGACACTGCAGCCTACCTGTGTAAACCACTTTGCGCCTGACGGTCAGATTGACGTGACCTTGTTTGGCTGCCTGTTGCATAAGCTGGACGACAAGCTGGTGCGATTTCCCGACAACAGGCGTCCCATCCACGCAGATCAGTTCATCACCCGATCTCAGGCGGCCGTCAGCATCAGCAGCACCCAGCGGTACAATGTGACCGATGTAAATCTGATGAATTAGAACGAACAGGAGAAAGGAAGGAAAGCGGAGGGGGGCAGATAGAGAGAAAGAAGGAGAGGAGGAGAGAGAGTGATAAATGAGAACTAGCTCAACAGGCAGCTGGAAGCAAGGGGCACTGGTAGTTAGACTCAGTTTAGTAGAGACAAGAAATTGTTGACAAATGTCTCCTGGTCAGGAAAGTTGCTCCTGTGAAAGCAGCTCCATGTGAATATAGCCACATCATGAAATTGTAATGAATTGACATCTTGTTTCATTAGGCGGTCCATTCACTCTAATGACAGATAGCCTCAGGAAATGTGTTCAACCAGACAGTGACCAGAGACGAAGATGGCTAAAAGCACTGAGGGTCTTGTCAAGGAAGCTGTGATTGAGTTTTCCTTTCCATTGCCTCTAGGGTTTACAAGCTCTGTACTACTCGCCTGTCAGCCAACTCCGTCTTGGTTTATCTACAGTGAGTTCTGTGGAGTTACTCTAACATGAGAAGAATTCATGGCCTCTCTTTCCGTAAATGACCAAAATAATTTTGGCAGGGAAATATGTGGAAATTTACGCTGCCACTATCTAGCTTTGACCCGTGCAGCACAGGAAAGCCTGACACCTTCCACAGGCACTGGATTTATGGAAAAGAAGTTAAGCGAATTCAAGGATGGAATTGACCAAATGGAAAACCTGACACTCTAAGATCAAAATACTTGCAAACCCAACCAGGATGTCCTTTCCTCAGTGTCTAGGCAATTTCAGACCTATGTATTTTCATTTGGGCTATCGTGAAAACAGGGAAAAGCAGGGGAAGCCAAACCCATTTCAGTTATGGGAGTTGCAGTTTGTTTTTTGGAGGGATGGTGGGAAGGAGTTGCAGGATGTAAATACATAGCCTGCTAGTTACTTCAACAGAGATGCTACAGCGCACTTCTGCACCTGTGTAGATGCTACTGCTGTGATTCTGGAAGATGTCGTGAGTTAAAACATGACCACTTCTGGATATACTCACAGGTTCTCCAGGCTCATTTCCACCTAGAATCCTAAATCCAAAACCGGTTTCCTTTCTCCATAGAAAGATATCCTGCTCTTGGTAATCTGGAACTGAAGGGAAAGAAGGAAAACTGTAATTTTTAATCAAAAAACCCACACCTTTTTACCCCAAACCAGGACTACTCTGGTGTACATGCAGAGGGATCTGCTGCACAATTTTACTCATTAAATGAGGTGGTCTTGAATTTTTAGACGTAATGAAGAACATTTATAGCTTTAAATACTAAAGGATTATTATTTAATTCACTACTAAAAATTATACGGTGGTTTCTGCTTTCTAGGTGTCTAATTGTGACTTGCCATTTGTTTATCACTGTAATATTTCCTTCCACCAATATTAGCATCATTACCCAGTGCAAGAGCCTCTTCCAAATCATCAATAAATAAATGTGTACAACAGAGAATTACTCTGCCAGAAACAATACAGCTGCCTCCTCTTTCATGGGAGACAAAAGAGCCACTTGTTATGACTTCTACTGTTTAATTAACTTTCACAAGCATAGTTTGCTATCTGTTTACTGACACTGCTTTAAATAACTATGGGACAGATCCCCCGTTGGTGTAAAACAGAAGGGCTCCACTGAAAACAATGCAGCTCTCCTGACTCTCACTTGCTCGTGTATGGGCTCTGTAAAACCACTGAACAGATAAAACCAGCTGGAAACATAAAAGAGCCCAACCTTACCTACTCATTAGTATGGAACACCAGCAAGCCTTTTACAATGAATATTACATACAGTGAAGTACTAACCTTGAAGTGCAGTTGAACAGTAATGTTTCATATTAACTTATTCATGCTTGCTTTCATCCCTTTTTTAAAATGCAAAATTAATTGCTAACATTAAATCATATCAGAAGACAACTTCAGGTTCATTTAATATTTATTGGTTAGTATCTGTAACATTGACTAATTTTGTAATGATCTCCTCCCCAAATTTATAATTAATGATAAAAAAGCTGTTCCTTTACAAGTCAGCTGCCCATATCTTTAGTAAAGAAATCTAAGTATATCATTCAGGAATGTAATTTAAATAAATGCATACTCAGATACAGGATGCAACATGTTTAATGAAACATCATCTAGTTTTCTGTATCTATGAGCAGATAAACAGGTTGTTTTCCATTTACATCAGTGTCAGACTGGGCCCTAATTGCGTTTTACACTGTTGGTGCCTGTTGCACAAAGGTTTGGGTCTAGTCATCTGATGCTTTTCAGTGTTAAGATTTTTGGTTAGCTCTGATGCTCTGTCTTCAATGACTCAACAGGTTTAAAATGTAATATGAATTTCAGACCTGGGAATACTAAAAATTAAACGAACAGGTGAGTGCTAAGGCACAGATGTCTGCTTTGACATTTTCAAACTGGTTTTATATATAATATTTTCACATTTTAATTAATTGCAGTTATAAACTGAGCTTAAGACCCATGCACATGACCTTACTGAACTAGAGGCTAGTTTTTGTCCAGACACAATTACAGAATAATCAGGTGATGAACACGCTGGAAACCCGCGTGGTTCATCTGTTCAGGCGAGTTGGCTGAAGGCAGCTCGCCACCGTACAGACGTGCGGCACAACAGCAGAACTTAGACAATGAATTAATTGGGTTTTGTCACTGCCTTCAGTGAGGGGGAACGTGAAGAGCAGACGCGTTCGGAAGCGTCTCTCCAGCACTTTGCAGGCTTTTTTGGCAAACGCTAGCCCCAACCAATTAATAGCGCGTGTTGGATCTGTCAGAGGCAAAATGGCTTCTGCAGAGAGCTTCAGCGTGGGCCCGTTTCCTCGGCATCTCTCAACACCTTCCCATTTGTCAACTCTCCAGTCTCACTGAACGATGCCTTATGTTCCCGGTTCGGGTACCAGCTAGCCAATTAACGGCCGCTGGAGATAACGGCAAGCCGAGGTGTAACGGCGGTGTCAAACCGAAGCAACAAAAAAAAAAGACAAGTCTATACCCAAAGAAGCACGTTCATTCATGGAATGGTCCTTCCGCTGGAAGGATTACAGAGAGGTGAAACACAGATAAAACAAACGTACAGACAACACACATTTACACAGCGTGAGTACAAACCACACAAAACTCCTTTTACCGCTTTTTTGCGCCAGCTCTGCAGTGTGGCGATTCACTGGCACAGGTCACAAACCCCCATCCACCTCTGCGCTTCCATACAGCCGAGGTGGGACCCCCTGAGGCTCTCCATACTGCAGAATTACTCAAGTTCTCCATTATTCGGGAGTGCTTCAGAGGAACCACTTTCCTTACATAAAGGGAAGATTTCACGGTGGTGCTGAAACTTTACTGAAAACAAATGAAAAATGGCCTCCAGGAGTCATTCGTTGCTTCTTTGCACCTTGACCTGACCTCAAGCATGTCTGAGACTTTCTGGAAAAAACATGTAAGTAGCCCAAATGGGTAAAACTTGCCAGCATGCTCGTCCTGAATTAACCCAGACAATTTGGAGAGCGCCACAAAAGTGGTAAGAAGAGTTCTGCGGGGACCGTGAGGAGGAATGGAAGGAGAGGTGAGCGCCACAGCCCCATCAACGAGCCACATGGACAGACTCATGAACAAAACGGGAACACGATACCCCCCCCACCGCCGCCTACGAAATCCACTGCTAGCCAGCACACAGTAAAGCAAGTACTTTGCACCTTCGTGGCTAACCTTGGCGTACGGCCCTGCCAGACTCCCTTGGTGATGAAGAGCCCCCCGCCACAGAGCAGCAATGACACCAGAACAAGACATCACAAGACACAGATACATTCTCGGCACAGTCTTACATTCTCCAAAACTCGTGGAATTGATTTCTCTCTCTCTCTCACCCTTGCTCAGTCCAGTTGCAGGCGAAGGTGACATAGCTGTAATATTAATTTTACAATTTTGCAAAGCTTAATGTATCTGCTTTCTTGTTAGTTCATTGAATTAATTTTGACTGTATGGATCATGTTAGGCTTTCATGCATAAATTGCTAAGGTTCTAGCTACTATGGGTTACGACATACTAACTTTCACATCTATTTGCACATGCCTGTGTACATGTGGATATATAATACACACACACATATGAATTTATACATTTATGTACATGCATGCAGGTATATTTGAAGAACTCTTCTTTTCTCCTCAGAGGAAGAATCTCTTTGAGAACACCTTAAAAATACTTCTCTACAAAATATTTTCCACCATCATGACACAGTTAGTTTTCCAAATGGAAGCATCTTTTCCTGATGTTAAAAGAAATTCTAAATACATGGTGATGAACAATGAACACAGTGCTTAATTAGAGGTCATTTTAATCAAAGTTTCCTATACAAACTTTAACAATTATCTTACGATAATCTTACAAAAACCACGTCAACTTTATATAAAAAAAAAATCTGCCCAGCGTGATATCAGTTTCAACAAAAGATGGATTAAAAAATAATAAGTATGAGTTTGCTTTAGTCACTAGCTCATTTGAGGCAGCAGCACTCTCAATGACTCATAGCTTGGCAAAGTACAAAAGTTTTCAGGCCCAGATTCAGCAAAGTATATAAGGACAAGTCTGAAATTAAGAGTGAATAGTCTCACTGAAGCCAAAGGAGAGTTTCAGTGTTGAGAAGTCCTGTGATTTAGCCATAAATCTCTTGAGATTACGCCCCTGCAGGAAAGCCCTGCCTTCTAAACTATCCCACTGCAGGAGAATTCCAGTTTGTCTGTCTTTTCCTTTCAATCAAACCTTCTGGTGGCATGGAAAGCTTTCAAAAGATGGCTTCGGCATGTTCTTGACAAGAAGACCAAGTTCTGCCCCTGAGGTTTGGGGAAGGCTCAATGCCTCGACTGAGCCATGGCCCAGGCTGGTGCCCGATGAACACCAGCAAAATCTGCCCAGAACCCAGCTCCGGAACGGCTCAGCAGCCTCTGCTGCTCACGCAACGTGCTGCAAGTACTACGGTCCATTTTAGCAAGACACTCTCTAGGGGCATGGACACATCTGTGTGCCCAAGTGTACGACTGTAACTGTTTGTCTCCTATTAATATAATAAAAGGACATAACCCTACCAAGGGGCTTTTACTAACTATCATCTTTAAAGTCAGTCTGATCAGAAGGCGGCCGCAATTTCCTGAGAGTATTTTCCTTCTCTATTTTAGGGAGAAAGTATCTAATGTTTGGTATCATTGTGCAAATATTTTTAATTCTATGTAATTGCTGATGAGTGAATGCTACACATTGGGGTCAAGACTTGTTTGTCTTATTTTAATTAGATTTGGAGAGAGAAAATCCTACCAAATAAATTATGTGCCTGAAAATAGAATTCAACTATTAACGATAACTTAAATATTTTAAAAGCTTTAAAAATTATCTATCGTGTTCTGCTTTACTTTTAATTAAATGCTTAAGCCCTTCAAAGGGATTCATTAACACATCTGCAATTCAGATTAATTCATTTTGTCACTGCTGTTTTGACAGATGGCCATATGTAGGATACGGTATTTTGCAAAGCAATCGGGCCACATGAGAAAAATTTGACAACAGATTGTGTTAATCTTTAAGGAAGTTTAATAATATATTGAAAAATAAAAAGCATATTATAAAAATATATTTTCAATAAAACAGTGCGAGATTTCAAAATTGTGGTTCTCTGATAAACTATTCAATTGCTGTTTCTCTCACTGAGTGCTCTTCATGTATGTCATTCCTGGATCTTGGAACCGCTTCAGTTTTTAAACCTTAAGGGTTTGTCCTTCTCTCTGATTCATGTACACAACTCCCACCAGCAGCAATGAGTTACCCATAAAGAGGAGCTCAGGCGGCTAAAACTTAGCACCAGCAAAGAGTGCATTTGTTATCACCACCAAATGATCTGTTTTCAGATTCACTTAACACAAAGCCGGCTATTCTCAAAAGTCTTAATCCAGCAAAGAACTGCAACTCTGGGCCAGATTGTAGCCGAGCATTTGAGCTCAGCCTTAGCCTTAAAGCAACCAAGTCCCTTTGGGTTTACAGCTTGAAAATAAGCTTCCTTGGACTGGAGCCCAAGCACTCAGCACCTTGCAGGCCTGATCCCTTCACCCAGGGGAGCTGCATGTGAAGGAACTTTAGCCCGTGTTTGTTCAATAAAGTTGCACTTCTCATCTGCCTCCACTCAACCAGAGTCCAGACACAGTTATGGAGCTGTTGCTTAGGTTTGCATTATTAATTTTAGCTTAATTTTTCTTCTTTTTTTTTTTTCCCTTCCCCTAAACAGGCAACATCTGTGGCTCTCCTCCGCAGAACTGGAGTATTTCCTGATATTAAGATGCATTGGGTAAATCAAAAAAATACATGCTTTTACAAAATGATGGGTTATCTGGCGCTTTTGAACCAAATTCTGCTCTACCAATGGCTTCAGTGAGACAAGTCACGAAAGTCAAATACAGTCTTTTTTTATGAAATACTGATTCAAAGAATACTCAAAGAAAGGAAGAATGCATTTTACCAATTCTGAAAAATTAAAATCTTGCCTGTGTGCTTTCCATGTCTACATTATTATTATTATTAATATTAATAACAGTGGGGTGCGCTCCCAGTGAAAAAGGCAGTAGGTGGTCATTATAGATTCAGTACTTCTTAGAAACGTCCTGGAGATGATGTATTCATATATTGAATAAAACCTCTTTATATTATTATTTGCAGATGAAAACAAATTTTGTCTGGGCTAGGGCTAATGAATTCATCTTCTTGTGTCAACTGCACTTGAAAAATTGCACTATGTTCTCTTTATACTCAACAATTTCACAAATGGGATGAAATAAAACACTTAAGATGATCTAATGCTCTAAAATTCTGTCTTTTTTAACTTCATCATATACTTCAACACAAATGGGTGTTGCTGGTTTTCAGTCTACTTGTTGGGGATTCAAACCCCTGCCTGTCAAAATAACATTTTATAATCCTTTTCAGGATTATTAAAATTTAAGGCCATGAATCAATAGAGAGCAAGTCCTGGACTGGGCAGCAGGGAGAGCTGAGCAGTGGGGGCTTCTAGAACCAACCAAAAGGCCCAGTTACTGGATGCAGCAGTCAATCTCAGCACTGGCACTAGAGTGACATCCTCCTGCTGTATATAAGACACTATTTAGTTCTGCTCACGCCCTCATCAGAAGGATGCAGAGAGTCACACCTAGCACCCAAAGCTACGGATGTGATGGGAGAGGAGATGCTAACCTCAGTCCCAAAGCCGAAGGGAATGGGTGCTCAAGGAAAGAAGAAAACAATAATATGACTGTGTCACCACCAGCCAAAGAAGGAGTTAAACTGAACTGCAGCTGGGTAACAGCACATTTGGAGCAGACACACAGTGAAACCGGAGGCCCAGGGAACAGTTTCTCCATCCCGCAGCCTGTGGTGCTCCATGTCAGCAGAGCTCCCTGCGAGTGGTCCAAGAGCCGCACGACCGCTGCTTGGGCAACACTGGGAAGTGAGTCTCAAAGGAATGAGTCACGTGCATAACAGAGCAACCACCAATTGTCCACTTTTCATGCAGACCAAACACAGGGAAAGAAACACAGTGGCTCACCTCAAGCTCCCAGAGCAGAAGCAGCACTGGGTTTCAGCTGTGAACCACAGTCTCCACTTCTGAGACTAGTGAGAAGGATAAAAGGCGAGGGCTTGGGGAGGGAAGGAGAAGGAGCTGACCACTGACCTCTAAATAAAGTCCCCACTCACACTTTGGGATCAGACCGCAACAAGAGACAGACCATGTCCAACTGCCTTCTTCACTTAGACTGTATCTTTCCTGTTTTTCTTCACCTGTCATTAGGTACAGCAAAGCCATGTCACTAGGTAAGAGTGCAGGTTAATCCCCAGGGAATGTGTTTCACTCCAGCTTAGGATCCAAAATTCATAGGCTCTTGGACACTTCTGGTGGCACATGCTTACAAGGAGACATGACCATATCACACTTCTACCATTCTCCAAAACCCCTCTCTCTATGAAAAGAAGAAATCTCAGAAAACGCCCTCCCGGGAAGCAAATGGCAATGGGACGAAAAGGTGGTAGAAAAGCACTGGCGTTCAAATAGGTAGGTCTCATCTGGTACAAGAGGCAGGAGATAAGGATTGAAGCAACAGAAGAGAATCGACCCCACTACAGAGACGCTGGACTACAGAAAGGTGAGACAGGGATGCTGAAGGGATGCAGCAGAACCCAGCCTGGCAAAAGGCCCAAGCAGAGAGGAATGTGCCAGAGGGAGAGATGGGGTGTGGGAAACCAGCAGGTCAAGAGGCCTCTGGAAGGGCTCTAATCACAGACCACAGACCAGGATAAAACCTCTACAAGACACCTGCAGCCATTGAGGAAAGAGGAAGGATTTAGCACATGGTGTTGGAGGTGGAAACAGAAGGGCAGCTGCCTGCCCGTGCACTTCAGGATTTCTCCAGCTCAGCCTCCGGTTTTATCAGGAAAGACAGGCAGGAGTTAAGGCTGCTAAGCTGATACTAATGACTAATTAGTATGAGTTAAACAGTTAATTAGAAATTAGCTAAGTAGCTGCAGGGGGTCAGAAGCATTGCCAGCACAGCGCCTATGGGAACCACGTGAGCTGAGCAGGGGTAATGCCGGTGCCATGGGACAGCCTCAGCCTTGTCCGTGCAGGCAGAAGGAGGAGCTCTGCCCGCAGCTCTGCAGGGCTGAAAAGTCACCATCCCTCGGCTCTTGCACCTTTTTTCCTTTTTCAACGAGACGCACGTGCAAGTTCCGTCACTGCACTTCTCCGTAGATCAGCGTGACCTGGCCCAAGAGCCCGCAGGGTCGGTACGCCTAATCCCTGGGAAGGGAAGGGAAGCAGCGCACAGAAGCTGAGACACCTACAAACTGCATTGCTGAGACATTCAATCCGAAGAGATGCATCTTCAGCCAAGAAACTGTGACTCATGATTTAATTTTTCCAGGACATAAGATTTCAAAGTGATTCATTTGGTCAGAAAAAAACAGTTCTACCATTTTTCATTCTGGGGTAATGTTCATTTCATACTGGTTTTACCAATTTCCAGTTAGCACAATAAAATCAAACTCCAGGTGATACTCATACAGCACCAAGACTTTGAAGCTCCCTTTTCTGTAATGAAAGTAACTGTTGCTTTTGAAAATGAACCTAATACACTAACTATTTCTTTAAGAAGCTTTTACAGATTCAATCTTCTTCAGCAGTGCAATTAAAGCAAAGCCAGCGTGTTTATTTTGTTTGCACAGAAGAAACTGATTGAAACCATATTTATAGTCTTGGAGCAGAGTCAAAGCCCTGCTGAACTATTAGCCAAGTGTGCAGATTATTAATTGCTATAAAAGCCACTTACAATATGCATTTGATATCTGTATTGTTAAAGTGTCCACTCTGGTCAAAGTAAAACGGCTCAGCTGGATTTTCTCCTCCCCAGGGTGAGACTGGAAAGCATCTGATAGGAATTTCAGCAAACTAAATACTTCCCCTCCTTACTGAAATTCCTATGCATATCAGACAACGAGTATTAACCTCAGAAAAGAGTTTAGGATCTGGATAACAAACTTGGAAATTCTCCTTCAGCCTAATTTAAAAGCGAACTAAAAAAATAGGGGAAAAGATGATCTTTAATTTTAAAGGGATTTTTCATATTAAGCCTTGGTCTAAGTGCCCTTTCCTAGAGATGATCTAAAGTCATTCCTCATCAGAGAGGAAACTGCACCTCTACCAAGTAGATATCATTGACGGATACCAAATTAACAAACTGAAGCCTTATATTTTCCACATAAATCTAAAAGGTTCAGTTCTTCGCAAAGAAAATATACAGAGAGCGGCTGCCAGAGCCGTAGCCCTAGCAACCACACCTGCTTCATACTCACGTCGGCTTTCATACATGCTCCTGGACTGGGCCCAGATTTTGAATGGATCTGGCTTTTTCTGCCCAGAACTGTCCGGTTGATCCGCAGCCGGCGCCTCCGCAGCCGTGTAGTCCGGCAGCACCTGCGTGCTGTGAACGGGGGAAGCGGTGTGCCCGCTGCGGTGGCTGGAGACGCTATGCTGAGAACTGTTTTGGCTGTCTTTCCTTTCAAGTGGTTGCTGCAAGGAAGAAAGCAAGTGGAAAGAGAGAGAACAGACGGTTATTGGTCTCTGAGTGGGTGTTTTCCATCAATTTTTCTCCCTTCTTTGATCAGGGTTTCTGCATGCACATAAATAAATATATAAATCACAGTTTTGCTGCCACAAGTTAATGCTGGGTACAGTTAAATTCCCCGATGACAGATTTTGATAGGCAGACTGACAGAAAGAGATATGCAAAACAAAGTCATTTATCATAAAAAAATATGCAGTTCTCCATCTCACACATAAAACAAATCTAAATCTCATTATAGGTTACTAGTTTCAGTGCACTGATTCTTTTCTACTTTAAGGCAGAAAAACTCAACAACCTTCTACTCAGATAACATTAGGATCTAACTTGAGCCTGCAAGAAAAAGGAAAAACTAGCAAATTTCACTGTGAAAACTTAAACAGTCCCTCTGAAACAGATGCAAGCACAGCCCTTACTCTGAAAGATCACTTTTCCTCTGCAGCTCTGGCAACCCCCACATCACAAGTGGGTGGACAACAGAGTACCACTTTCATGTCTCTTCTTCCCAGAGCATCCACAGGATTACGGCAGATCTTCACAAATGTGAAAATGTCTGTTTGCAGTTTGATTTCCTTGTTTTAATTGAGCATATTAAAACAGGAAAAAAACATGTCCGCCTAAATTCAAGGCTTATTCAAAAGCAGTATGTCAAGAGTTCTGTCTGCTCAATATTTAGCTAAGCAGTGTACATAATTCTTAACTCAAATTCACAACGGTGTGCTCAAATGAAGCACAAGTCACATTTGCATTGCCAGGATTTGTACTACTCAATATGCAGCAAAATCCTCCCTCAACAAGAACTCCCCAAACTGTAAAAAGCAAATGCTTTTTAATGCTTTTTTTTGAGACGGCCTTGGGTTGGCAACAAGGTCGACTCCGACCTCCCACCTGCTCTGGCACAGGGAACTGGCACGTTCCCGGAGCTGCTGTGATGCAGAGGGCAGCCGGAAAAATAGCATCCTACAGGTTGTTTTTACAACATCCACAACTTCCCGGCTAGAAGGGGTCAGGCACTTGCACCAAGAAACCTCAGACAAAAATGTAAAGCCTTCTGCTGGTAAGGGGGTACCCAAAAACATTGCAACAGGAGTCTCTGCTTTCAGGGACTTCTCCATAGAAAACGAAGCAGGGGTTGGGAGATAAGCCAGGAGCAAACACAGAGCCGATCAGCATGGGGGGTTCAAGCGCCCACAGGTCTGGGGTCCCCCTTCTTTACCCTGAACACAAAACCCCAGGCGGCCAATGGTCCATCGTAGCAGGGGTGAATTAATTAGAGAGGAGAAAGTCACCATACGAAGTGCTCTCTTCTTGAGTCTTAACAATAATCTTTTCTGGTTTTAAGTTGCACATAGTTTTAGGTTTACACTGAGAAAAAAAAACCAAACAGCTCCAATAGCCCAAATGACTGTGACCTTGCAGCCTTACAGTCGAGTTGTTGATCCACTACCAGCATTTTTTTAAATGATATCTTGATCGACTAGAATGTGAAATTGCCTTTGTCCTTTAAAGCAATTTTGAACAAAGCATACCTGCTGTGATTACTCATCTGCAGACTCTCAAATACAAATATCTGAGCCAATTTCAAACATTTTTAGCTTTTTAAGTGGTAAAAGAAGCTAATTCACATGCAGCCCTTCAGTTTTTAAATGAAGTAGTTTTAAAACATCTATGCTGTGGATAATCGCTCTTTTGCAACTTAAAAATAATAAAAAGAAAAACCACTTTACAACTCCCAGTCCAGCCATCTGGATTGTTTTGTTTGTTTGGCCAAACTACTAAAATAACTACAAGCATCCTGTGAAACTTCAGGCCAATCTCACTGGAAATAGCTGGTTTACAGAAGTTGGAATACAGGGACTAAAATGTGAAGCTTTATTCAGCCCTTGGGGAAACGTTGAGAACTCTCTGGAAACTTTCTGATTTAAAAAGAAACAAAGTTTGAACTTTACAAAGTGCTCTCACTTTATGATATGAAAGCTCTAAATATTGAAGAAACTATTACTTCTGTTTCGTATTTGGGTTGCAAATGGATGTGTCAGCATACCTCAAGCAAAACCACCTCTAATTAAACTAGAGTTGCAATTGCAAATACACAGATGTTTTGCAAGAAACAGGGGAAAACTTCTTCAGAGGGATAGCTCTTTTTCCAAACAATAACTCCTGCAAAAAAGCCTGAAACATCTCTGTTTAGGAGTTGAAGAAGGAGAACACAACCGTGAGAGAAAGCGGAACACAACCATGGAAATAGGGCCTATAGGTAATTAAATTAATTCAAGACAATATTAATCGACTTTCACATCACCAGATGAGGCTGAAAAGGTTTTGGGCCAGTGGCTCCAGCACATCATCATCATCAGGAGGTCTTGCAGGGTCTTGCCCTGCTCTCTGCAGTGCTCCTGCAGCAAAGACTGTCCAGATGAAGAAGTTCGAGCCTTGGTGCAAAGGTGGAGCTTTCCTAAGAGAGATGAGGTGATCATATGCCAATGAAAGGATGGCTTCTCTATCAGCTGCCTCGTTCCTAGCTTCGGGGCTGATTCTGTCCTCTTGGGCCTGGATCTGTCTCGTTCACGCGTGGGCAGGAAAGCAGCTAAATCAGGGCCAGATGAGCACGGGGCTGGTTGGTGGCAGACCGCTGCAAAGCGGGCGGCTCAGACCTCACCCTGAGATGCTGATCATGTTTTTCAGTGCAAAGTAAAGCAGATCAGCTGAATCGTGTCGACTTCTGACAGTAGCTACAAGAGCACGGAGCACTGAACTACCCAAGTCAGCAAGAGCACCCCAATCCTCCAGAGTCTGTGGTCTTCTCCAGAGCTGTTGGTAAGCATAAATAGCTTGCCAGAAAGACTCTTGACCAAAAGTGGCTAGAAATCAAGACTACGAGGAGTGCCTTGAGTCCTTTTAGGCAGACTGCACGCTTAAATACAAGCGATAGGCAAAAACAATCACCTTGATACTGTATTACAGCCATGACAAAATAAATATGTGGAAAGCCGGAGCTTCTCCTGCCCTACCCAAGCCCCAGGTCTGAGATGCGTGGCCTGTGCCAGCTTCCCTACACCCTTGCTGAAACTTTGCAGTGCTCATCCTGCAAAACAGAAGATTGGGAAGAAGGTCTTTTCTAGCTGCCCTTTCCTCGCTGGTTGAGGTTAACAGGACCATCAGCGTGGCTCGGATTTCCAAGTGCGGCGTGGGTGCAATTGCTGCAGAAGAAGGGGCAGCAGCGGTCAGGGTTTGGGCATACATCAGCCTTCCAGGATTTCTTCCTCTCACCGTGCAATCCCATTTTCAGCCACAGGCATTGCATTTGCTGACCCGAAAGGCAGCTTCTCCCTCAGCAGGGAGGATGAGTGAGCCCACACCGAGCACTACATTGTCCTCTGATTACAGGGAGGGAAGAAAACAGCAAAGGTGATGTGAGCCAGGGCGCTTGCAGCTGTGACGTTTCAAAAGGAGACAGGAGGAAAACTGCTTACAAAAGTCTCCAAGTGCCTGGAAAATGCTACAGATACCCGCATAGCGGAGGCCAGTTTGTCATTCATGCTAAATGAAAGAGTAATTAGATGTTACTTTGTACAGTGACTGCTAAAACAACCGAGGCCCATGACACGGCTGAGAGGTGGCTGCAGGCAGAGATGGGACGCTAATTATTAGCAGCAGTTGTGTATGTCTGTGTCAGGCAGAGAGAAACCCGCAGCAGAAGAGGCGATGGTGGCAGGGAGCGTGTCCTGCGGCACGAATGGACACCAAAGCTTTTTGGCACGGGATTCTGCAGGCATAAAACTGCAAGAGAGAAGAGTTGCTGTGGTTTCCTCCCACTGCTTTTCAAGGGTGGTGGTGCGGGGGGAATGGTCTCTGAATGAAGAGGGATGTGTTGTACAAACACTCATGCTGTGGAACCAATTTCTCCTCCTGACAAAAACAGGACATCGGCAGAGCCCCAAGTGCCGCCGATCCACCTGAAATATGTGGCAAGTCTCTCCTCAGGGACAGGCTGTGCATAGGAATTGCAATTTTGACCACAATTCAGCTAGGCTGACAATGTATTTCTTTACACCCAAAAGAAAAAATTGGTTTTTTGGAAGAGCTTAGCACTTTCTTCCCCCTGCAGTGATCCCATCTTCTGATGATCTAGCTGCAGATTTTGTGCTCTAGAGCATTTTGGAGAAGCTGGTCCTGGCAGCAACAGTAAACCGAGCTGGAAATGGGAATCTTTGCCCCCTTGTGGAGTGTTTTGATGCAAGCAAAAAGGAAAGAAAAAAAAAAGGAAAAAAAAAGTTTGTTTTCATCCATGTTATACCAGGATAATTGCAGGGGAAATTGCTATACTAGAGAACTTGCACACTGAAAATGTATATCCCCAGAAGGTCAATACAAAAATATTATCCATTTTCATCTCAAAAAAGAATCAATGGGAAACTGAAAATAAACAAGCAGCACACGGAGCTGCTGTGAGAGTGTCAGGGGGACGGGGGGGAAGGAGGAAGAAAGAACTTGTGGAAGTACCCAGTTCCATGTACAGCTGCAAACTTTTTTTTTTTACTAATTTGGCTCTTTCACCAAGGCTGCAAAACTCCCCTTAAAAACTAAGAAAAAGAGCAAAGCTTATCAGAAGATACACACAGGCTGAAAAATACAGCCCAGGAAAACTGAGCTCAAGGCAGAAAAATATTCCCAGACTAACAAACCTCTCCAAGCGGCTAAACCACCTCCTCCCAGCCAGGACATATCCAACAGCCTGAAGTCAGCCTTTCGGGAATACGGGACTGGGGCTGATAGCTAAAAATAGGGCTTGTTTGAGAAAGAGACAGCCGTTGGCAGTAAGTCAGGAGCATGTCCGGGCTTTGGGAAAGGATCCGAGGTAACAAGAGAGGGCTTGTCACTGCGCTGAGCGAAGCAGAAGAGGATGGACACCTGAGGTCGTGTCTTCCCCGATGCAGCAGAAGAAACAAAGAACGAACACAAGTTAAGATCAGGCCAACTGCTCCCAGCCTGGATGTACGCTGTCCTCTAACTGCAGCTAACTTATTAATCGAGGAATGCTGGAAAACAGTCCCCCCCTGCCTTGGGCAAAGGGAGCGGGGAGGAAACGGCCAGCACATTCGACCCAAGCCCCGTAGGCAGCCGTGCAGCGCTGGGCACAGCCCGCGGGCGCACAGCTCGGCCGGCAGCACCCGCATTCACCCACCAGCTGCAAGGGCAGCAAATTATCCCTGGGAAATGCCAGGGCAGGGTGCAGCAAGATGGCATCCCAGCCGGGGAGCATGCCAGTGGGGCAGGCCTGGCTCTCCCCTGCCAGGACAAGAGCAAGTAGGAATCTTCATGGCCAAGAGAACCGGGCTCCCCTCGCCCCGCAGCCACCCTGCAACTAAACCGAGGAAGGAAGGTGTTTAGCAATACCACTTCTTTTATGCTTTTGACCATCGCTTTGGCCACAGGAGCTCTGGCGGTGGTGTAAATCCATCCCAGACAGCCCCAAGGACAGTCTCCTCCTCTGCACACGGGTGCCCCGAGGTGCTTTGCTCCAGGTTTCCGTGCCCAACCCGTGCCCATCACCAACGCCCGGGAACGAAGGAGCGGCTGTACGGACTCTGACGCGCTCTGCTCTGCCCCTCCGAGGAGCGGTCGGTCATTAACGCTGCCGCACAATGCGGCAGTGTAAAACATCGCCGCTAATTGCCAATGCAAATGATCCGGTGTGCAGGCAGGGGGAATAGGAGGTTCTGCTTTTTGTGAATCCTGCGCTTCAGAGGCAACAGCACCGCCTAGGGCCGTCGTAAAAATTACTGGAGGGACCCTAGAGCAAGGTGAGAGGGGTTCGGGAGAGGCATGCGATGGAATGGGACTGCTTTCCCAAGGCTGACCGGCTCCTCAAAGCAAATAGTAGGGAGAAATCTGCTGTTGCAGAGCTACACCTGTTTGCAAGCAGCCTCTTTGTTCACCGAGGCAGGATTATCCCGACATGGATTTAGACGCTGCTCAGATTTGCACGGTGCATCGCTGCCGACCAGAGAGGTGTCTGACAGGGCAGGATCCTGCCGCACCTGACGCCGAACGCGCGTGTGGCAAAGCGGGAGCCTCCACGCTTTGAAAAGACTAAGACTCGTTGATCGGGGCTGGTTTAATGATAGAAGTCGGCGTCCAGATCAAGTGCAGCCACCCCTGCTCCGACCGAGGAAGAAAGTGCAGGCAGAGAAAAGAAACGTGCCAGACGCGTATGTATTTTACCCGCTCGCTTCTGTTTTACCGAAGGCTGAAATAATCTCCGCGTATGACAGAAGCGACCGCGCAGGGTCTGACATGCCTGTGATTTGCGAGGGAGCACACCCCACACTTTTGCCTCTCAACATTAATGCGAGCTGACAATGGTAGAGGCCTGGGCTCACATGACTTTAATCAGCGCTGCCCTAAGCCATCAGAATCACATTAATTATTTCAGGGCTTTCTTTTTGGATTAACAGAGAACTCGTATTAAAAGCAGGAGCCTTCTGCTCAGCCCTTTCATAAACCTCTTGCCCAGGTTTGCGGCGAGGTGGGCTGTGCCCAGCTGCAGTTTTTGGCACCCGTTGGGGACTGTCGGTGAAGTTTCGCACCATCTTACAAGACGGCAAAGACCTCACTCGCCCTGCTTCCCCAAAGCTACTGGGAGAGAATTCTCTCTTTTCCCCTCCCTCTCAACAGATAACTGGAAACTTTCAGGCTTTAAGTATTTAATTTCCTTTAAAAAGAAAACATTTCTTTTTGTTGCATACAAATAGCACACTAATTTCTTCCACAATATCTTGCATGCAGCTTTAATGATACTTTAGATCACGGCTTTCATGCTGTTAGCTAACATGTCATCCAGGTAACAGCTTTACATGGAAATAGGATCAGAAGGGACAAGAATATACTGTTCTGGTTTGTGTTTTTTTTTTAAATAAGGAATCTCACACCTGCAGCACAATCCTGCTCAGTATAAAAATGCCTCCAGAGCAAGCACTCTGACAGTTAACTGTATTCCCTGGGAACTGAAATCATGCTCTGTTCATGCTTTGTCTCTCTCAACAAGGTGCATGCTTTCCCATTCTGTTAATAATTCAGCCGAGGGTACTCAAGAAAACTCAGGGAGTTAATGGCAAAGGTTGGTGCCTATGAGCACCCGACAGGAATTGCTATCTGGTAAGAAGGTGGAGCCTCCCATCTTTCCAAAAGGAAACAATAGCTTTTTTTTGGTAAGTTAAACGACAGAGAAGCTCATCTGTCAGGGAAGAGGATCTGTAAACCTGAGGCTTTAATTGCAAACAAGTCCCCCCTTCTGCACTGCATTCCTCTTTCATCTCCCCATGCAGCAGGAGCCGTGCAAGGTAATCATGGTTGCAACAGAAAGACAACTTAAAACAATCGAGACCCACAAAGAAAACGAACCGAACTCATGCCTTTCTCCTTCAAAGCAGACAAACAGACAAAAATAGTAGCTGAAAAGTGCTTACCGACTTTGGGCTCTTCTTTGGGACCGGCAGTCCTGAAAAATGGCAACAAGGGAAAAATAAACATTAGCATCTAAACGTTACCTTCCCCGAAAGAAAAAATCCCTAGGTGTATCATCCGAACGTAGCCATCTGCAGAGTTATGTCAGCTTTCGCTCTCGCATCGGAGTTACCAGTCTGTTCATATCGAATCAAAGCACAGGGAGAGGGAGAGCGAGCGAGAGACGGGAGCGGGGAAGAGGGAGCGGGGGGAGAGCTCTATCTGCATTAGCTATGCTGACTTGTGCTGCAGCAGCCGGGAGGCTGGGAGAGAAACCCACAGCCCTCAGCGGCCGCCGAAACCCAGCGCTTGGGCAGAATCTCAAATGCTCCCCTGGATTACGGGAGACTTAGCTTACAATTAAGCCGAGGCTATTTCCTTTTGACGCGATCGGCTCGGCGATTTTATCGGACCAATCGCGGCAGCGCAAGGGAAACAGGTTGATTTTTTAAAAAGTGTTTCGCTAGAAATCCATTTTTGAAAGGAAAACGGGCATTGGCTTGAGCCGGGAGGCTCGGGCTGGGCAAAGGAAAACAAAAGCATGGGGAGGAATAAGCTGTTATCCCTATACCCATGAACGTTACTGAGAAAACACGCGTTTTCCTTCCTGTCCATCCTAAGTGTAAATCTTTGAAGCCAGAGATTTTATCTGTTAGCTACAATTTCAGAGAGCTGAGGCTTGAAAACAGCACTGCAAATGTCCTGACCCGTGCGGGGTATGCTAGGGAGCTCAGAGAAGGGGGGCTTACACAGGTTGCAGTCGATGCAAAGGAAGAAACAACCAGGAGGGCACAAGAGAAGGTTTTTTCAAGGACAATTTTGCATTTTGGAGCAGCCTCTTACTCACTCTGTGATGAGCAAGAGAACGCAAGTGGGATTTCTATCGACTACTTCTGCATATACCTCAATTCCCAGCAGCAAAGGAGACACTTGGCCGGGGGTTTTACCTGCAACGCAGGAAAAGCTCTTTTCCTGGGCATTTCGCAAATCACCTTCCTTTTCCTCCACTGTTGGAGGAGAGGGAACTCCCCATATTTTGCTCTGTGTTACACTCCAGAAAACAAACATAAACCAAAACAAAGATTACACTCCACATTAAGTGCTCAGTAAGTCAGATGTTTGAAATCTGCTTTTGTCTTTAGGATGTGATTTATGTGGCATTTATGCCGCATTACGTTTTCTACTTTATGCATTTTGTTTGTGCTAAAACCCATGCCCTCATCTAACTGTGATGCAAGTGAATTACAAATCTGTCTAGGAAGAAGCTCATTTTAAGGTAATTTGGAAGATGTTAGTTCTGAATAGGGAAGATCCACAATTAAAAATGATAAACAGAGCTCACTCTGCTGCCTGCTCACAGACTGGGATGCAAACTGTAACGAATATTTTAACTGAAATATTTTCAGCTTTTGAGGAATATCTGTGCTCTGCACGTCACTCTGATGCATTCCCAGCCAACAGTTGATAGCCCTCCAGGCACTGATTGATCGAGGGACAAAGAAACATCAAAACTGTTTGAACTAAACAATCAAGACTGCAGCTTCATTTCTGCTGACGGTGACTGTGTTTGTATAATACACCTAAAGAGGAAAGCACTAATAACGTTCATAGCAAGTCACATTTTTAACAGGCATCGTTTATCACAGAGATAAACACACAGATAGAGCTTCTCCCCCCTCTCTCTCCCCTTCCACATGCATGCACACACGTTTACTCTTCCTTTCCAAGAGATGCTCTTTCCTATTAAATCAATAGGTAAAACAGATCCCACGCACGCACGCACCCTTAACAGACCAACATGAGCCAGAAAAGGTATTACAGCAATTCAAATGTTCCCTGCAAAAAATGAAGTGGAGATGCAGCTGGGCTGTTGGTTCAAATTGTACCAGAATTCAGTTTATTGCATCACAAGCATCAAATGTTAATTACTAAGTATGAACTATTAACAAACCTTTCCTTCAAAGTTTGTTGTTAATTTTGGCTATTCCAATCCAAAAAAGATGGAAAAAGGTTGAAAAATAATGGAAAACACATCAAGGCCATTGTTTGGCAGGTTCTTTGGAGGCCGATGAATCTTACAGGGTCACTGCTCTGTGCCAGACTTTGCTCCAGAACAAGCAGTAATTGACTTTTTACCAAAATAAGTGACCGCAGAACACGTTAACAAATGTTGGTAGTTTTTCATGGGACAAGCTTACAGCCAGCGGAATAACCTGCCTGTACATTTTCCTGTAAAAATGTTATTTATTCATCTAATTAGGGTTTCATTTTAAAACTCGAGTTCTTGACGCAGCAGGCCAAATGAGCAAATGATAGGTATAATATATAGTTTTCATGCCCAGATAATGGAATGGATATAGTACTTAACAGCAATGAACACGAAGCACTTGAATAACCCCCAAAACCCAGGAGCACCACTAGCAAGAACATGCCAAGCTTTTCCAAAAAGCTTCTGGCAAAAATGATTGCCCAAGCCTATGGATTTGGGATGGTGACAACTATGAATTACAACATTCACCTTTTGATTAAATTAACATGTCCCATCACTGCCCAGGCCATTGCTCATCCTCCTGGCTGCCCCGTTCTCTCCTGAAGCCTCACTGCAAGTTTTTCAGGGGTAAATGGGCCAAGCATGGACTTAATACCCAGTTTGCATCTCTTTGGTATTGTCCAATTTTTCAGTGATTGGAGTAATGGCATTCATATCCCCAGCTAAGAGAAGCCAAAAGGCTTCTCCGCTGCTCTGCCCTCAAATCCGATAATGGAATAGTAATAGCTGATATCGACGCTCTTTGCCATATAAATCCTCTGTGATTTAATGCCTATGGACATCTCTTACTTCTAATTTTGGGGCTTTTGGAGGTGCAGATTGGAGAAGGTGGAAGAGCCAAACAACTGAACGCAGCTGTTGTCATCACAGAGTTAAGAGTGTTTTAAAACAAATGAGCACATCTGGTAAACAATGTCAATATGACCTAAAGCCCCTTGAATGGGCTCATTGTAGCTCCTTACTAAATGTGCCTGGAATTAAATTAATTAGAAAACACAAATTACTCCCCTCTAAATAACAATGTAATAAAGCAACTGCTTAATGAAAAATATCAGTGATCAGCAAGCAATCCACAAGCATAAAAAAAGGGATTGTAATCAAACTAAATTCACAGACTCGTCAGCAAGGCAAGAAAGGCTTCATACAAGGTTAGTCAAAAATGAGTCAGATGCAGGGATCTAAATTAAACTAATTATCACAGAGATTATTACATTTATCTTAACAAAAACCTATCTCTTTTCTCCCCAGTACTCCCTAAAGCTCTATGTACAGCTGGCTGCATCCATCTGCTCAACTACATTTTGTAACATAGGGGAAAAAATGCAAATCATTAAGCAAGTTTCGTACCATGACTTCAGCACTCTTAACACCATTACCCATTAGGAGCAGCATTTCTGTTGCGTGACACTGTATTGTGTTGTGAGTGATGCGGTCCACGAAGTAAGGCCACAACCCAGTTTATTTCCTATTATTTGGCATGTGTCAATTTTGCAATCTTGTGTAGTAAAAACTTTTGGAGCTTGGAAACTGTGAGTTTCCTAACCCTACCTATGACAAGTTCATGGAAGAAGCCATGGGACAAATCTGTGACCCCAAGGGTTGCTGTTTCTAACGTGCAGTGGTCCTCAATTTTTACAGGAACATTTTTTCAAATCTTTTGTCATTACGCAACCAAAGCAACACGGGAAGACCACAACACGTGGCATACCATAGCCAGGGCCTGATTCTGGTGAGAGCTCAGAAGGCCACAAATGCTCAAAAATTACCTAGATGAACACCAGACACATCACGCGTTGTTCCACAGCCCCGAGTTTCAGAGACAGTGGATCAAAATGATCGAAAGTTGAATCTTAAGGAAGACCTGTCTCTAGGCGCCACAGCAGTCATCCAGCCAACCCATCTGAACAGCGTGGTTATGTGAAGGCCAGTTGGCATGACCCCTTCTCCCTCCACCACAAAAAAAAAAGTGTATCTTTCAATGGGATTTCAACTGAAGCTGGAACCAGTACCAGTTTGCACAATCCACCCATAGGACAAAGGTACTTGAAATTGCTAACAGCCAGTCTAGAACCCAGACTATCATCTTATTTCTTGCTTACAATGTCTGTGACTATTGCTCAACATTTTTCAGTTTGGGGGTGTTTTTGCACATGAAGGAAAAGAACAACTGTGTCTAGATCTTCACTTCTCATGATTGCTTAACACTTCCAATCTGGTCACCTTGTGGACCATCCATACCCAACAGCAAAAAAAAAGCTATAGGTGAGCCTAAGTGAAAAGGCCACCCATTTGGTTTCACCATTATGTCATCTGCAGGCCAGAATGCACAACAGCTGAAAATTAGCAGGACATAAATAAAAACACAAGAAAAGAAACATTTCAGACTGTGTCACAAGGTTAACATTTACAGAGAAAATGTTCCTGCCCGGAAAAAAAAACAAACAACAACCAAGCTTTCTAAATAACACTGCTTACACCGTGCTGAATAAAAACCAAAGCCTGTATCAAAGAAAACAGACACTTTGAAAGATGAGGGGTAAAGTACTGGAGTCGGGTGGTACACAGCCATATACCTGGCATTGCACATTGATTGCTGCTTTCTGTGTGAAAACAAGGAACTCTAAATAATTAACGCTAATGTCCATTAGTGCTGCTGGGGGGGCAGAGGATGGGAGGCCGGTGGTGACAAAGTAATCCCCTTGATTCTGTGAAATCCATTGCTAAAAAAATTTCTAATAAAGGACAAATACTATCTAAAATAATAGATGGAACTTGATGTTTTACAGACTGGAGAAAGAACAAGAAAACATACCAGAATAATTTCCAGCATGAGAAGCAATCCTATACAGGGATAAGGAGCACCATCAAGAAGAAAAGCCCTACCTTGTCCCTGCCCAACTTTTCTGCTTGTCATCGTGATCTGCGTAACAAGAGTGTCACTGCAC